ATTAAGCAACGTGCATAATTTGCATACTTGAAAATTGTAAGGAAGCAATGTGCAAGTTTCTACTTGCACACTTTTTAAAGTATTAAACATTCTTGGAACTTCTAGATGATTCATCAACAATAATGTCTCTTATGGTATCATATGCTTAATATAATATTAGATCTTTTTATTTCGCCGTCTATGTTGCAATTTCAGACAAAATAGTTTCTAAATTATTCCTCAAAATCGTTTGACTTAATATGTAGCTCGTTCTTCGCAAATACTGAATTCTTATTCTCTTCTCTAGAAATTTTAAATTTTTCTTTCGAAATCAAGTAAGTCTTTATTTTTTATATATTACTTGGTTATAATTATTTTAACAAAAATCGCCTTGCTTATTAAGCAAAATCCGTCTCAGCTAGCTGAGGCTCAGTTCCCAACAAACGCAAAAGGATTAAAAGATATTAAAATTTTTTAATACCTTTGAATCCCTTTTTTGGCGGAATTAGATGAAATTAGATGGGATTCGAAATGAGATGGTCCAATCCCATGGAATCCAAAAAAGAAATTTTAAATTCTATCCAATCCTATAGAATCCGTAAAGGTTATGGAATTGCATGGCATTAAATGGTTTAGGAAACGTCTCGCGCCTCCGTTGGGCGACCAAGCGCCGTTGTTCGTCGGTGAGCTTCTGTGTATGCCTATAAAGGCATTACACGCACTACTGCCAACGGGCAATTAGCCCAAAAATGAGATTTGTAAGATCTGTCAGGCACCGTAGGGGGTCTCTTTACATAGCGGTCGAGACGAAACTTTGAACTCGAGAAGATGCCCCGGCGTTGCGACGCCTGGCGGCGTCGACGCGAATTGCCGGTAATGCAGATACCGCGCGGGCGTGTACTATTGTTGGCGCGTACCGCCACAAAGTTCAACACGGACACTTTTCAATCCCTATCCTGGCATTCAATGGTATTCATTTTATTGTCAGAATAGACGGAATTCAATGGAATTCAATACAGAAATTTTTAATTCCTAGTTTGGCGTTCAATGGTATTCATTTCGTTAACGGAATCAATGGTATTCAATGGAATTCATCACGAAACTTTCCAATCCCTAACCTGGCATTCAGTGGTATAATATTTTTGTGTCGGAATTGGATGGGATTCAAAAAAGACAAATTCTTTTCAAAATAAGGAATTCCATGATATTGAAACTATTTCAATCCCTTTTTTGGACAGAATGGAATTCGGAAAGTCCTTAATTGAATTCCTGGCAATCCCGTTTTAATTCTTTTCAATCTTTTTTCGTTTGCTGGGTTCTTGTCAGTTGCTCGTAGCGAACGAACCTTTAATTCACTGTCAACTAAATGTATTACTATACTGTGAGTGCTTTCCATTTAATGACACAAATCAACACAATTGTTCAGTTTTTGTTTATTCATTGAGGGCCGGTTGTTCCTACCTATTGGTAAACTAACTAATAGGTAAATCATATATGTGTCTTTGTTTTTTCTTCAAATTAAACAAAGATAAGTATATAATTTAACTATTATAGGCCAGTAAAATTAGCTCGAAAAACACCGAATATCTACAAAACGGATTGACAAGCCAATTTTTTGAGGGTGAGTAGAGGGTCATAGAAGATGCCCAAATTCACAAAGTTCCAACAAAATTTCCTTGTGTGTCGGCGGCCATCTTGAAAATAGAGGTAAATATTTAAAGTTTGAATATCTCGGCTTCTATTGTTCGAATTTTATTCTTTTTTTTTAGTTTTGTAAGGAAAAATATTTGCTACAACTTTTGTTGGAAAAAATTTTTAATAGCTGTCAAGGAAAAAAAGTTAAAACCAAAAAAGTGCCGTCAATTAGGGGTTGAACAATTTTATTGACACTTATATCGCCCCCTGTTAGTTTGATAAAAAAAATGTTCCAATAAAACTTGTAGAGGATTCAATTCTCTACAATTTTCGTATATATTTTTTTGCGGTGGCTCAAAAAACATTAGAGATAGAAAGCGCCAAAGTTGAGTGTATCTAGTAAATCTAGTAAATCTATAACTTCTTCATCCACAACCTTCAAATTTTCCAATCAATCTCATATAAAACCGAGGAAAATATATAAGATGAAAGTCGGGATGAAACTCGTGACTCGAGACCCCGGACTCGTCGATATTACGAGTCGACTGGTATGGTTCCACATGGAGCCATGCATCACCCTAAGGCTGCGTTCGGAAACGCTACCCTGAAGGAAGACTCGGGTGAATAGTGGTGGGGGCAGGGTGCACCCCGGGTGTAAGTAGTTTCCGAAAGGCAAATAAGTAATAAGACATGGCGGATGAAAGGCAATCCCGAAAAGATATTATTGTATCCTGCGCCATGACTACTGGACAAGAATCGATAAGTCCCGGTCTACAATAGGTGTTCTAAGCCCTAAGCCTTAAGAAGTTGTTCAATCATAGTTGAATTTGAGGAGAATAATTGACTGTGATTGGTCAATTCTTAGGGCTTAGGGTTTAAAACACCTATTGTAGACTGGGACTAATTAGGATAGCTTTAAGCTCCTTGCACAATGCCAGGCAACAGGCAATAGGAACAGGAAATAACCAAAAAATCGTTAATTACAACCTAAAAAATTTGAATGCTATTGATTGGTTGGCAACAGGCAATAGGCACAGAATTTCCAACGTGACGGAAACTCTGTGTCTATTGCCTGTGTCACTGTTTATTCTGCATTTATACATGATTCCTGATTTCTATTCCTTGTTCCTATTGCCTGTTGCCTGGCATTGTGCAAGGGGCTTTAGATATATAGTTTATATCTAGATAGTAATGACACGTTACAGTATAATATATCTACTTATGCTGTGGTAATGATGAACCATTGAGTGTTTCTACAGCTTCTACTTCCTTTTAATAAAATTAGTGGTGCAATTACCAAATAACAATGAAATAATATATTTTTTTATTTAAAATTATCAGTTATTACTTTACAAAAGGAGTGTAAAATATATCGATCGCTTAAGCAACTGTTAAGATATACCTACATAAGATGAATTATTAATTAATATGAATAATAGAAAAACATAATCGTAATAGCGTCAAGATATTATTAAACATAGATAAAATCTGATAATAAATTAGCGGTAGACAATAGAATATAATTAACCTTACTTAAATCCAACTAATCAGATTAGGTTAACAGTTCGACCAATTCAGCAAATCGCAACGCAAACTCGGTAAAACATTTTTTATATAAAAACATATTTAAATATATATAATCATACAATATTATATAAAATATGTCCATACTATGTTTTTTTCTCTTGCATAATCTCTGTTTGTATGTACAAGAAAAATAATATGGAAAAAGAATTAGAAAATAATCAAAAGAATAATTTTTGCATTGTTTTTTTATAACAAAAAATAAAGTCTGAGAAATTGTGAAAAATTTGCTCATATAATCATATATAATCATATTTTATATACAATTATTACATTTATATATGATTATATATGATTATATATAGGCAAATAAATAAACAATGCAAAAACAATAAAAAAACAATGCAAAAATTATCTTTTTAATCATTTCTAATTCTCTTTCTTTTTATTTTTCTTGTACATATGAACAGAGATTATACATAAAAAAACATACATGGACATATATGGACATATTTTATATAATATTTTACATAATATATCATATAATTATACATATTTAAATGTTTTGATATAAAAAATTGTTTACCGGGAATAGATAATGGAGCTACGAATTCAAGTATTTAACGCACAATACGCGATATTCGCCAGCCTCGCTTCGAAGAGAAAAGATACGTAATACCTGGTGTATTGTATACGAAGAGAGTACTGGACACAGAGATATACTAGAACCAACTGGAAATGTTTGGAATGGATTCCAATCGAAATTCAATTATTCCCTAGATTTCTATTGCTTTTTAGGGAAAACGAAATAATTTCAATTGGAATCCATTCGGAACAGTTCCATAACTCCATTTCTTCAGTTTAAAAAATGCCGCCAAATGTAATAAGTTACCCGCATTCACACTGAAATTACAGGGTGGAAAATTTTCCTCCTGAGGTGCACCCGGGTGAAGTTTCCGAACGACTTCATCTCTGTCACACTGGTACAACCCGAACGTTTCCGAACAGCGTGACTCAAGCGTGAGCCTCGGCGGGTGCACCCGGGTGAAGTTTCCGAACACAGCTCTACCAGCGCTATCACGTGACCAACAGACCAACAGATAGCTGACAAGTAATCGCCGCGCACGCCGCTACGATGAAAACCTTGTAGGTAAAAAACAAAATGGCGGGAAACGCTGACTACCGCGTATCTTACACTATTAATATCTCAACCTCCTAGCTACTATGCGCCACTTTCGTGGTTTTTCGCTAATTTTACCGATTCTTTAGAACAAAACGCCACTTTTTTGTTCCTCGATACCTTTGTCGTTATCAAGAGAGAATGTCTTCAATTGTTTTGATCTGCAATATGATTTATCAAAGAAATGTTCGCGTTTCTTTTTTTTAGCCTCATTCCACGACCGAGCGTACAGCGTACATACATTCCGCATTCAATTCATTGTCAGCCGTAGTCAAAGGATTAAATTCGCTTCAGAAATTGCTCGCGAATCGGTGATGCAAATGGTTTATTTCCGAACAAATTTTTATTTTTTTTTAATTATGTGAACTATTCTAAATTCCCGCCAAGAATTATTTCAAGTGCAAAGTCGATCAATCTCAGATCAACTTATCGATATGTCTGTTATGTTACTAAATAAATTCTGATTAACTTAATCAGTAATTAATGTATCAATACCTGTATTATTTTGTTAATATTAATTTTTTCTTTAACATATGGAAAAAGAAGATTGGGTACAATTAATAGGCACAACGCATTGTATTAGTTAAAAACTCTGCTTTTAAGCGATTTTGCCAGTTGATCGATTAACTTAATTGGAGTTTGATCGAAGTCGTTCTAAGATAATAAAATAAAGTTAGCTCACCCAAATGAAATCCGCCCATATTTTTCTCGCGTAATCGAGCGCCTGCTCACGCAGATCTATTACGTGTGCAAATCTGCGAGGCGACCAGTTGGCGATCGATTTCTCGTCCTCGAAACCCGTCGACGACGCATTTAAATCAACGTTCAGCGAATGATACATCTCGCTCCTCGTACTGATCCATTTATTCAGTATCTTGATCGAATTGTCGACATTGTTGTCGCTGCGTATCCTGAAACGATTAAAATAAAATCTTCGAGTCTCAACTCGACTATTTCGCGAAAATCTTACGCAAAGCGTGTCCGTAAATAAATTACATTGACAAGTGAAGATACGAAGGGCATAATAAATAATGTAACACATTTTTTTCTCATTCAAGATTTGTTTTATTACAGTTTTACATACATATTTTCCTCATAATTCTTTTGCTACAAAAACCTATTTTTCAACATAGTCTCCATTCAATTCTATGGCTTTACGCAACCTAAATCTGAGAACCTGTATGCCTTTGCAGTATCACTCTGCTGGTCTGCCTCTTAGCTACTTTCTTACTTCGGCTATGGCTTCCTTGTCATTGCCATATATCTTTCTGCGGATTGCATTTTTCAGAGAACCAAAAAGGTAAAAGTCAAAAAGTGCAAAATCCAGGTTGTAGGGTGGACTGCCCTGATTTAAAAAATCGATAAGAAACGATAGAAAACAATTGCATCGTTTTTAATCGTAGTTATGAATCGGAAGTTAACAAAAGAAAAATTGTGTGAGAAAGCGCGCGAGTCGCAATTGTCTCGAGATGTCAATTGCACTCGCCAGACGATTCGCCGGAACGGCCCAGTGCTGAGCCCGGAGTGCGCGTGACGCGATTATGAGAATCGCTAGAGGATCGGAGTAGGCACTCACGAAATAAAGTCAGGATTGGACAAACTTGTCAAACAGCACTATTTATTATTCTCACAAATAAGTATCTTTCGCATGAGAGTTTAGACAGTCTCGAGTCGAACGAGCGGTCACCTTAGCGCGTGACGTCATTCGCGGCGTGGAGTCACACTTGACTCGCGGGCAAGCCGTCGGGTACTCCGAATAACTTTGTTCGTTTTTCCATAGGAGCAATAGCGGTGACTGAGTCCCGTGTGTCTCAATGCAACACTGACGGAGAGGTGTAGGATCGTGTTATAATTCGCTTATAATACACGCCCGAGAAACACCGCGCGATCACCAAAGTTTTCGGGATTCGCGGAGACGACGAGCTTGCCCGATGATTTCGATACGCCGACTGACTACGCGTCGCGTTGCTCCGAACGGTAACGCGCTCGCTTGATCGTCGCTGGTTGTACGAAAAACAAGTAAAGGACCGCCCATCACGGCAACCGAAGAATAGGGCCATGCGATGATCACGCGAGAAGCACGCTTCTCGAAGCTTCGTTTGCGCGACGAAACGAAAAACAAATAGACGATCGGACTCGTTCTCGAACAAAAATCATTAAATAACAGCAACACGCTTAGCTTTATGTAGGTGGGGGAGGTGCTCCGACGCAGGCGGAGCATCTCTTCCGGATAAAAAAACTAATCTAACTCTAAGCCTATTTCTAAAAACTTAAAATCAAAATTTGGTCAAAATAGGCTTAGAGTTAGATTAGTTTTTTCATGCCTCTCCCCCCGCCTACATTTTCTTTATAATTTTCCTTTTTTTATAATTTTATTTTTATCATATTGCCTCACATTGCAGCTGCATTAATAGCGTTCACAACGCGTTATGGAATTTTCATATTTGCAGAATGCGTTATGAGCGTTTTTGAAAGGGCCATGACAAACTTCGCTTTGTGGCCAAAACGCGTTGTGGAATGTTTTTTTCGCTCACTGAGCGATTTCAATGTTTGGGCGTAACATATATATGTTTATATAAACTTATTTGTTTATTTTGACCTAGAAAATATTTCCCTAAAATAGTGCCGTGTAATTCTGAAACGCCCTGTATATATATATACAAAATTTGAAAATTTTCTAATACCGATTTCCCCAAAGATTGGTAACGAAAAATTATACACTTTATGGCAATCCCCGGGAAATTCTACCCCTACTTTATATAATTTTTTAAAATTCGGTCAATTAATTTTCGAAAAATTTAAAAAATGTAACCGGTTTCCAAAAAGATTGGTAACGAAAAATTATACACTTTATAGCACTCCCCGGAAAATTCTACCTTTGTTTCATATATAATTCTTTTAAATTCGGTCGATTATTTCCCAAAAAATTAGAAAAATTAGAAAAATCCGGTTTTCAGAAAATCGGTAACGAAAAACTATACACTTTATGGCACTCCCCGGGAAATTCTACCCCTACTTCATATATTTTTCGTAAAAATTCGGTCCACTAACGAATGAGTAGTTCGCGGTCAGACAGACATACATACATACAGACGACGGTACTTATATATATAGATACACACACATATCGTCAAGAACATGGCCCTGAGTAAATACTTCCGCACAATGAAAAATATAAGAAACAAGGAATAGATATTATATAGCGATTAGAAATAAGAAATCAGGAATAAAGTTGGTGTAGCATTAATACACGGCTTCCGATAGGTTACAAATATATTGCTTGTGTTATTCCCTGTTTCTGTTGTTCGTGTTTTTCATCGAACATCCAAGTTTATTCCTGATTCTTTAGACCTAATCGCTAATATCTTAATTGTTCTTTATATTTTTCATGGCCCCAAAAGATCAGTCTTCATGTCCTTCAAACATACACAAAGTTTCATCAAAATAACCCAAGTAGTTTTCAAAATTTTTGGAAATAACAAATTTTTCCTTCAACTTTGACACCTTGTATATATTTTTGAAACTAAGTCGCTTCGGACATATGGTCATAAGAAGTTTTTGTCTTAAATTTGAGGAATTGTCTTGATTGTGAGGAATTACCTCTTAAAATCTTTTAGAGTACTTGACTATCAACCTGTATAATAAATCACTGATCGTTACAATAAAGTAATAAAAATAGATAAATGTTTAATTTATACATTAATTCCTTATTAGCAAGAGATAAAAAATTGTCTCACAGATTTTAGATTTTATTTGAATAGAATTGTACTTTTCTTCACACATTCTTAATAAAATTGCTATATAGAAGATTTTATTACGAAAAGAAAGGTATCCTATTGAGGTATATCAAAAACCCCATATTATTACATTGAAATCCAACTATTCATTCTCACTAAGTAATCTCGTCAAATATAAAAACTTGCACATTGCTTTCTCATAGTTTTTAAGTGTGCAAGTAGAAACTTGTACATTGCTTCTTCATAGTTTTTAAGTGTGCAAGTAGAAACTTGCACATTGCATCCTTATAGTTTTTAAGTGTGCAAGTAGAAACCTGCACATTGCTTCCTCTATGAGGAAGCCTGTTTTTTATGCATAATTATTAGTAGATATTTATTAATTTGGCTTCCTCATAGAGGAAGCAATGTGCAGGTTTCTACTTGCGCACTTAAAAACTATAAGGAAGCAATGTGCAAGTTTCTACTTGCACACTTAAAAACTATGAGAAAGCAATGTGCAAGTGTCTACTTGCACACTTTTTTTATGGTTAGAGTATCATTAAAGATACTTACACATTTTTTAAGCAGAAATCGGTAACTCTCTCACCGATTCTCGCAAAATTCCAAACAACCTTCTTTTAATAATACTCTATATAAAATTACATGTACATCTTATACACTTTTTAAGCAGAAATCGGTAATCCCTTCACCGATCCTCGCCAAATTCACTAACAATCTTCCTTTAAAATGATACTCTATCCATCAAATAACTTAGGGTAGACCGAGGCGAATCGGATCAATATAAGTTTTAAGACAGTTTTCGTTATAGTGTTTTTTTTTTTTCAAACGAGCTACTTTATCGTGCTAATTAGTAATCCGATTCGCATCGGTCTACCCTATATATTTTTTAGACAGAAATTGGTAACCCTTTCACCAATTTTCGCGAAATTCAAAACAACCTTCCTTTAATGATACGTTCTATATATAAGATTACATGTATAACTTGTACACTTTTTAGGCAAAAATCGGTAACCCCTTCATCGATCAATGCCAAATTCAACACCAACCAACCTTTAATGATACTCTATCCATAAAAAAAAATTAAGCTCGATATCTCAAAATTTGCGGAAATTAGGGCAATCATATAAATTTTTTTAGATAAAAATCGGTAACCCCTTCATTATTAGTAATTTTTATTAATTCTATTTTAACAGCTACGATATTGACAATGTCAACCTTACAAGCGTTCTCTCCACAGACCATCAAATACTATACGTACAATACCAACGTTGTCGTCTGCGTGTTATATTTTTAATTTTAACCCTCAATTAGCACATGTGCTAATTTGCACCACTTTTTTTTTGTTCAACACTTTATATATTTCAATTTTTCATATAAAAATCATTTCTTTTTCGTAAAATAAAGTGCACTACTCGATTGCCAGGAAACTTTTACATAAATTTTTATTAAAAATGACTAAGATACGACAGTTATAAAAGTTGTCAAAATCTCAAATCGCACTAGTGTGGCATTTGAGGTGGCCCAACCGAGGTGTGCTAATTGAGGGTTAATTATACGATAGCGCTAATGTAGCAAGATTTGTCAACCATTTGCGTTAAAATAGACACTGAGGATGGTTCAATGTTTTTTAGAACTGAAACGTCTGTAATTTTATTGTAATACATTTAATATATTAACACTTACATCCCGTTACGGCTTGATGCTCTTTATTCCTTAATTTAATTTTTAATTCTATTATATTCTGCAGTTTCTTCTACCCCTATTTCATGTATAATTCTTTAAAATTTAGTTAATCAGTTCTTGAGTTATAGAAATTTTGGTAAGTTTGGCTATTTTTTTAAACAGAAATTGCTAACCCCTTTATTATTAGCAATTTTTATTAATTCTATTATATTCTTCAGTTTTTTCTACTCCTATTTCATATATAATTTGTTAAGATTTGGTTGATTAGTTCTGGAGTTATAAAAATTTCGGTAAATTTGTCACATAAACACACATACACACATACACACATGCATACATACGGACATTTTTTTTAATGCGATATTTCGACGTTTTAGAACATAAGAAACACATTTGCATCGAAAACTAAAAAAATAATTGTTTCTTCGGTCTTTTCTACCCCTATTTCATATATAATTCATTAACATTTGGTTGATTACATCTAGTTTTAT